TACTTCACTCGAGCGCAACATTGGTTGCCCGAGCGAACCCCTCAGTTTGGAAAAGTATTGGATGCTCTTATTTTATGCTCAAGCCAACTTCTTGGTTGCTTGAGCCAAGACTGAAAATAAAGGGTGGTCGCTCGAGCGGTATTTTGGTCGGTCGAGCCAACCTCCAATGTCTGCAAAACTACTGGTTACTCAATATGTGCGCACGAGCCACCTTTTGGTAGCTCGAGCGGTCTGTCGAATTTCTTGAATTTCCAAAACTTTGTTTTGAGCTTCAAACACATATCCAAGGCTTCAAATTCATGCATGACTCACTCAACTATGCAAGAACACTCCCAAATACCTATATTTGAAGTTAACTTCAACCCATAGTTCCAAAATCCATGAATTCAACAAAATTCAAATCTTAAACTTTATGTTTGTGAAATCTATGTTTTATATCTTGCATTCACAAGCTTCAAGACTTAAAATTGAATCTTAAAACATGACAATTCATACATGCATGTGCAATATGACTTCAAATTCAAATTGAAACATCATAAATCATGTTCAAAAGCATGAGCCTTCACAATTTCTTGCATGCATGTATGATTTAACACTAAATTCTTCATGTTATGCTCATGTCTTGCCCTAAATTACAAAGTTTTCTTGAATTCACAAGCTATAAGATTTTAATTCACAATCTAAGGTTCAATTACACACTAGAGCCTTTAATTCTTCCAAATTAAGCTAGCTCTTGAGCCTAGCTCTTCAAATCTCCAAGTTTTTAGTTCAAGTCTTCAAATTTGTAACGCCCCGCTAAAACATACAAGAACATGCCAATACAAACACCATAATATAAACCAAAGGTCATCTTTCTCATTGAACTAGGACTTAAGAGATTACAATTCAACATTTACAAAACATCCTGGTTTCACTTTCCAGTTCAATAATCTAGGTGGCCTTACAAAATAATAAGCCTCAAGGGCATACAAAAAATAACGAAACAAATTCAAAAGTACAGGTACAATGTCATCCATATCAACAACATAATATTCTTGAACTAAACTTTCCCAAAATGAACTGCTGCCTGTCTTCTCCAACCCATCAAGAAGGTGGTGTATCATCAATTCCTGAAAAATAAAATAGGGTTAAGCTATATGCCCTATAGGAATACATTTAACCAAGTATCATTGACACAAAACACATTAAGGAGTTTAGGTAGACATGTAATTATTATCAATCATGTAAACACTATAACAATTGAACAATCACATCAAAGAGAATAACCCTTGAGTCCCATATAAGAGTCCAAGTCCAAATACAAGTTTCTTTTGTTTAAAAACCACCCCCACATTTGCCGACTATTATATGGCAAGGGGTGGACACCCAAAATCATCAATTTTTCAAGTTTTGCCGACTACAATATGGCAGGACCAGTGGGCACCTAAAAATATTTTCCTACATTCGTCCAGCGATAAGCCTAGATAGGGCAATTGGGAACCTTTAACTTCCTCTGCATGGGTACCAACACAACTCACACAAAGCTAACACCGACTCTTACCCGGACTCATGCTCAATGAACAATTCATCAAATTTCCATTTAATCATCAACATTCAACATTGTCAAGAATGTAACATCACATAACATACAAAAGAAACCACCACCCAATTCACAATGCCATCTTCACAATAGCATCCACTTATCACATTTCCTTATTATTCACAATATCCTAATACTTTAAAGAAAATCTTCAATTAATTACCATTCTCTGCTCAAAATTGTAATTAGGGTTTTATCATATTTTGGGGCTTTCCCCATTTCTTCACTTACCAGCATTTCCATTACCATAATATACATATTATAAAAAGAGTTTAGGAAATTTTAATTAAAAGAGGGGAAAAAGTTTATTTTATGCAAAAGAAGGGTTATTTCAACTCAAACATCCACATTTCCTCTTAAGCCACAACAATACCACTATCACTTCTTCAAAACCAAGAAATACAAGGTTAAAAGTAATCCTACCTCAATGATCAAGCAAGATATCAAAGCTTCTAGGAGGATCCTTCACCAAACAAAATTTCAATTGGTAAGGATGATGATCTTCAAGCATTCTTCACTTTTTGATAGGTGATCTAAGCCAAATCTTAGTGAAATAGAAGGTATTTTAGAGTGAGAATAGAAAGTTTTTGGAAATGAGGAGAGAAAAGAAGATAGAAATGAAAAAGGTGAAGAAATAATCTAGAACGTCCTTTTTAATTTGATGATATTGCGCAGTCCACTTGAGTGTAAGACACAAACTCAAAAGGCTTGCTCGAGCAACAACAACTTTGCTTGAGCGTAAAATGACAAGTCCCAAAAATTTTGTAAAGCTATAGTAAAACAACTGGAAGCCAACATTCTCCGCTCGAGTGCAACTTCCCGTACTCGAGCGAGCCGCCTGCAAACTCGCGAGATTTTGAGAGCTATAAGTCCTCGCTTGAGCGTAACATCCTTTACTCGAGCGGACCCAGGAACAAAATGTCACAAAATTTGAGTCTCCCCTCTCTTAGAATCACACACTCTCTCTCTATAATGCTTAACCTCAGCCAAATTGTTGAAGAAGAGCTCAAATATTTGAGCTTAATCACCATCTCATATTATTTATATAAGGTAATTACCTTAGACTAATCAAACTTGACTAAGGTTAATCAATTACACTTATTGTAATCAATTTAATATAATTAATTTGATCCGAATCAAATTTTAATTAAATTTAATCGTATGCTCTAAAAATTATGTTAATTACAATGATACGGTCAATTTCGGTTTCTGAGGCCTCTATGACCTTCAATTTCAGATTATAGAATAATGTAGAACAAATATCTCTACGATGGATAGACATAAATTCAAAAACACATATAATCACTTGATTAGCATCCAAAATCAAATTAAGCAAACAATTACAAAGATAATTAAAGATTAACAGCATATCACAGAATGGGGTTGTCACACTAAGCCTTTGAAAATCATTCTAGGGCCTGAAGACTTTGAACTATCTCATAAACCTAAGCTTGATGAAGGCTTGCAAGCAAGAAAACTTTGAGTTTTCTTGGAGAGTTCTTCAGTTCATTGAAACTAGCTGGTAAGTTCTTTGTTTCTTTTATTTCAGTACCTCTTCTTGCCTAACTTTCTGTATGTAATCATGTAAGGATGTTAGAATGGCATGATCATCATGTAGTTTATTATCTTTACTAAGTTTTTTGCCCTTTCCTCGCATGTTTCATCTATTCCACTAGAACAGCATGTTCTTAGGTTTATTTTAATTGTATAATCTGCATGCATGGCCCAGTTTGATTATCATTTAGTTATGTTATATTTTTACTTTTATTTGTTAGTTGTATTTTTGTACATATTCATCATGCAGTAGCCTCAAACAGGGTCTAGGATCATTCTTGCATGTTTAGTTGTACATATTAGGTAATATTTATTTCATATCTAACATGTACGACGCGTAAATGGGTATTCGGATAAGTTCCTTTTTTCTTCCTTAGCATGTGTGCGCTATTTGCATTGTTTTTCAATTATGCAAGTTTATATGTTCTTTATATGCAAAATTGTATGTTTTGAAATTGCATGTTTTGAACTTTTTTTTTTTTTTTTGTGAAAATTATTCATTTTAGGTTGAGTTTATGGCCATGGGTTGTTAAAACCCACCTTTTATTAAAAATCATTGTTTTGAAAACAAATATGGCTTTATTATCTTAATTTAAAGTAAATAACTTTTATTTTATTTAAATCACATAGTTTTAGGTTAGTTAAAGAGTTTAAAGTCTAAAAATGAATTTATGTGAACAATTAACCATTAAAATCATAAAATAGAGAGTGAGTAGATGTCAATCTTCGAATTGGGCAAAAGGGAGTGTTTCCACGCAAATGACTTTTCTCTTTTGTACTTAAGTTCCGAACCCAAAATTTTCTTAATTATGACGGACTAGATCTTAACTTAGTTTTCATTGTTTCTTAATTTCCCTTTAAAAATTAAGTGTGCGACTCTTTATTGGTCAAAATAAGTTAGTGTGAGAAACAATAACTTAGATTCGAAAAAGGCACAACATCCACTAGACATAAAGTTGATTTCAAACCATGAAGACAAAATAAATTTTACCTTATTATAAATTTATATTTCACCAAACATGTTATAAGTGATACAGTGAATCAATATGGATTCTTTGTACAAAAATAAAAATTATAAATTATAAAAGCCTTTTATAATTTTATGAAAGTTAAAGAAGCCTATATTATTTTAATCGAGGCGTATATGGCTTAATATAGTATATATCCGATAATAAGTCATCAACTAAAGTATATCGGAGTATAAAATAAATTTTAAAAGGAATAAATAGAATCTCAACGCAGGGAGGATATAAGTCTCCACATATGGTGAAAAATATATTATTAAAATATGCTAATTTAGTTTACTTTCATGGCGGCGTTTGTTTCATGAGATTGAAGTGTGGGATTGGGCTCCATGTCCAATAAATTTACTAATTCATCGTTCAGTTAGTTTAGTGAACATCAAATTATAAGTCAATAAATTTAACAATACATATTGTATTACAGTTTGCTCTTATCGCGCCCTTCTAAACAAATACTCCATTAAGGTAAATTAAAAATACATACTAAGATTTTGCTTAAATACGAATTATATCCTATAATTTTAGAAATGATAAGTATCCCTTGTCAACATTTTTTATTTAATAAATTAACAAAAAATAAATAAATAAAAAGAAAAAATAACATATTAGCAAAAGTTATAAAAATAAATTACAAACCAGTAATGAATTTTACAAATACGTAACAATGAAAGTTTTAAAATTTTTAGGTATGTATAATAATATTTTTTAGTATAATAATTTTTCAAAGAAACACAATTTTTATATACCAAAAAATAATGTAAATAGTATAATAATTTTTCAAAAAAATACAATTTTTATATACCAAAAAATTATCTAAATTATTTATTTAAATATATTTCTAGTCGTTCAAAATACATATACCTGAGCTAGAAATAGATCATCGCTCCAAAAACCCCACATCTCATTCTGTTCGTCTGCCCCAATCAAACCCTAATCCTCATACAGAGCCATGGCCATCACGCGTTCCGGCAGAGGGCGCCCCTTCCCCGTCGACAACCAGCCCTACCCCGCCACCAGTGGCCGAGGCCGTGGTCGTGGCCGTGGCCGTGGCCGTGGCCGTGTCCTTATCCGTCACCGATCACCCTCCCTACCCTTGAACCCAACCCCAAATCAACATCGACAGGAGGAGGAGGAGCTCGTACGAAATCAATTAGTACCGGAGGAGCAGGAATCAATAGTGGAGGAGGAGGAGGAGGAGTCCGTAGAGAGCCTTATAGAAGGCTTACAGAAAGAATCTCTGGTGGCTCTGGTTATGGAAGCAATCTCCATTGACCCTCATTTAGTCTGGCTGAGGTTGATCCCGCCCAAAGAGAGATCTTCGTGTCCTATTTTGGATGGGAGGACATGACCCCTCTCACTTCTGAGACGTTGAATTCTTTCTTTGAAAGATATGGAGAAATTGAAAATTGCACCATCAGTGTCGAACAGATAGATGGGGAAACAGAGGGCCGAGGCTACATTACCTTTAAGCAGCGAAAGGCCGCGTGGGAGGCAGCGAAGCAGCCATCCCATAGGATCGGCGACATCTATGTCAGGTGCATACTGCGCTCTGTTTGGCGCTTCCCCAATCCTTCCCGCTGGTTGCAATTGCCCGGCGTATCGAGATATGAATATAAGTTACCAGAAAATCAGTACGCCACCACCTCCTCTACTGAAGAAGAAGAGGAGCCTCTCGAGAAGCTTCTGGAAGCGTTAGGGACTTGCAACCTGGTTTCATTAGTGAAGGAAGGACTAATGAAAACCCCAACTATACTAGCGAGCCTCTACAAGCACGCTGAGATTGATCCGACTCTTTGACATATCGCAGCTTACCGCATTGGCCCCTATTTCATGACTAATAGGATGATTGTGAATTCAGTATCTGAAAAGTACGGTGAGATAGAACGCTGCAGGTTTGATGATGATGGTGTTCAAGTATTATTCAAGGTGCATGCGACCATCAGGGAGGGGCGGCATGCTTTTTTGGATGAACTGTTGAACAATGAGCACCAGCCACCCACAGCTTTAGGTGGCTGTCTTTAGGTAAGAACAAAATAAGATATATTTAACTGCTCGATATTTTTCTTTTTTGTGATGTTTTACATGGTGCTTATATACAAAATTTTAACCTATTTTGCTTGGTTTTGATATATAAAAGAAAAGAAAAAAAAAAAAGAAGAAGCAAAGATTGGATAGAAAGTGTTAGTATATGCAAATAACTGATTTTCGCTTATTGATGCTGCATGATATAAAGATTAACGACTTCACATAAAGAGGCATGAATTTATAGCACACTATCTAAATGGCTAGTTAACTTATATTTATCATATGAATACCAGCCACAAACACTCAATGTGTTAGTTGGAAGCTTGTCATTGTGATGCTCTAAAATATCAAAGCCTCAAATTATTTTGGCATCATCGGACAAATGTTGGCATATGATTTAGGGCTTACTTTAAACCTATGTTGCTGTTAGATAGTTTAGGGTGGTGGTTTTAGCTATATATTAATACGCGTGGAGTTTAGTGGGTTTGCCAATTTGAGAGGCACTTAGTTATCCTGAAGGGATGGAGGAATGGAGTTTATTGTTAAACTTGAGCCATAGATTGTTAATTTATGATAGATACTTGGATTTTGTTGTTGTTGTTGTTGTTTTTTTTTTTTTTTTTTTTTAAAACGTATGGAGGTAAAAGATTGGTTTGATTTACCACGTCACAGTTCACTTGAAGATGCATATGGGTGGGATAGGCTAGTCATATGGGATAATATAATACTTAAGTAAGGTAAACCATTTTTTCACAATTTCATTGGTATAAATGTCACGACTACTTTTTTTTCTTTTTCTTTTTTTTATTTTAATTATCCTTTTTTTCCCCTCCTTGTGTTGATTAGGGATGCAACTTGGGCGGGCTCAACTCGAGCAACCCGAACCCAGTCCGAATTTTTAGAGTTTGGACAATATATTTTCAAATTTGGTACGGACTTGGGCAAATATTTTAAAACTCGAATTAAATTTGGACGGGCTTGGCAAAGACATCAAACAATGCGAGCAACCCGAAACCAGAATTATACATATATAAATATATAAAAATATTAAAATTATATATATATATATATAAATATTAAATATACATATAAATTATTAGCCATTACATGATATTAAAGTGATTTAGATTATTAAATCATATTGAATATATATACAAATAATATAAAATCTTATTTTTTTTTATTTTCACTCATAAATTGTAAAGGCTACTATAGCGACATCTCTCTTACATTATATAAATTATTTGTTTTGATGGTATTAATGATTTTCTATATATATAAAAAAATGTAAATAGAGTCAAATTTTAATAATTTAACAATGTAGCTGAAAAAAAAAAAGAAAGGGCAATTCAGACAATTCGTGTTTAACTCGGGCCGGGTTTGGACAGGCAACCTCGGGTTACAATTCGTGCTTGGGCGGGCCTAGGCAGATCTCAGCACAATTTGGGTTGGATTTGGACAACCTCCCAACCCGACCGAACCCGCCCAAGTTGCACCGCTAGTGTTGATTGTTGTAGAAAATCCAAATATAATTGGTGGAAAATAAGGGAAGGTTGGATAAATTTCTAAAGTTATTTGGTTGATAGTGGCTTTAAAAGTGAGATTTTGTCATGCTATATGATGCATGGATTCCCCTTGCTTGAGGTTTAAGATTGCAATTGGCGGTAGTGGTGAATTTTTTGAGCTTCTATGTTCTGAGAGAGGAGTGAATATGATGAAACGGAGGGGGCAGAAGTGGCTAATTTTCTTGAAGAATTTTATTCTATCTACTTATAATCCCCTCCTAGCAGAAACTATTTGGAAGACTGCGGGGGAAGGGTTTGTGCACCCTTAGGGATTAGTCAAGTTTTGATCCGGACACTCCAGTGCCAACCAAAAAAAAAAAACTTGATTTCAATTATGAATTGATAATCATTTGGTGTTGCTTCTTTTTCTGAGAGCTTATGCAAAGATTCATTTTATTGCCTTAAAAGTGGAAAATATCAATCCACTTCAACCGAGAACTAGGGCTCTAAGAACCAAGTACTAGAAATGATGAATGAAGATAAACTAAACACACAGAATATTAATACTTTTGTAAAGAGTCTTGCTTTTGAATTGTTACACATGTTCAGGAATGCAGAAGAATCTGTGGATCACTTTATTCTTTCGTTTGGGATCTTTAGTAGTTGCTGGTTTTGGTTTTTGTCGGTCATGTTGTGATGTTTTTTATTCTCATAGTTTTGGGCAAGTGGGTGTTGAGTGAAGGTGTGGATGACATGTGATGAAGCTGTACTTACTGATGACATTGTGAATCTATGATTCAATGTGCGTGCACTAGATAAGAAAAGGGTAATGGCGTGCGGTATTGGAATGCTAGTCATTATGTATTCACCAATCTGCTGCTAGTTTTGGATCATATCAATGTATTGTAAGTTTAAAGGCTCATACCATGTGTGGAGATCACCCACACCAATGCTCATGCTTGAGTCTATGTAACATAGATGATTCCTTGTGCTATAAAGGTGTGTGTAAGATGAGTTCATCCTGCGGAGTTTATGGTGTTAAGTTTTGTTCTTATAGACAATGGGTTGGAGATACCAATGGAGGTTAATGTATTGTTTGATGATCATGGTTTATGATCTTAGAAGAGTGAGTGTTTAGAATAGTGTGTATGTGTTTGTTTGTTTTCAAATTGGATGGTAGGTATGTCCGTATTTTTGTTATGCATCTATTGTTTTAGGTTAATGCATAAGGCAATGATGATCTGAGATCCTTCAATCTTACTGATGAGTGACTTGCCTTAGTGTTATTTAAACTGTTAATATTATAAAGTCCACTAGCATTGCAATTTATTCTTGTTCTAATTTTGCTATATGGGATGGAAATATTGCTCTTATGTGTAGTAAATAAATTGAAGCTAGTCACTATTGGACAAATTTTGTGCAATATTTCTATAGGCTGAGAAATTGTTTATTCTATATATATGTTTGGACTGTTGATTTACTTATCCCAAAAAAAAGTTAGATTGTTGTTTTGAAGTATGTTCCTACGTCAAATTCAATTTAGTCATCTCCACCATGTTAAATATTAAAACTCTTCTTTTGTGTCCCCTTTTTTATTTTTATTGTCATTAGTCCTTTTTTTGTTATGAAAATTATTGTGCCCCCATCCTGGTTGGATAGACAACGGATGTAATACAGGGTATGCAGTTTCAGCCTCAGTTTGTAATTGTTGGTTTTGTACTTGAAATATTTTCTTCTTATGATGAGATTTTTATTTATTTATTTTTATAATGATTTTACACTTTCATTGCGCAGATTCATCAAACGTTTTGGACTCTAGTGATTCATCGAACTGAAAGTTTTGGACTGGTGATTTTGTATGAAGTTCCTGATGCTCATGTAGATGATGCTTTAATTATTGTTTATCTAATGACTAGAATCTACATTCTCCGTACTTTCCTATCTATTCAAGTACTTCATTTTTTTGGATGTTTCGAGAACAATGTGGTATTTTTGTGTCAATATTTATGTTTCTAAAGAACTCTTTGGGGAGAACATCCTCAGAACATCAGTTGTGTGGATTTTTGGGCATATTAATTTTTCTGCAAGTGCTTTATAATGGAATTATATTCAGAATTGAAGTTGATAGTGTTGTTTGTTTATGTGGTGCTTTGCTGTACTATTATTGCATAATCATCTTCGACGTTTTTCATAGCCTTATTTTAGCCATTGTGTGAATCCATCCAATACCAGTCAGTATTGCAGGTGGCCTTTTTTCCCCTCACTTTTTACATGAACTTAACATTTCTCAAGATTATTTTTTGGTTTGTTTTGCTTTTCCTTCTTTATTGTTCACCTCCCCTCCCCAGGGCGGGATGTAAGGTTCAAAAACTTCCTCTATATTTGATGATGGATGGTTCAAGACATGCTTAACTTTAAGGGATGTGAAGTTTTGAAAGCAAAACGCATGAATGAATTGGGATTGTTTCCAAATTAATGGGAGTGTTTCCAAATTAAGTATTTGCATTTATATTATTTGCTTGATTTCCATCCCCCTTTCATACTAAAATTACCTACAATGTATAGTTTCTCCAACTACTTAGTGAGTATTATTGTCTCAAGTCAGATTTTGAACCCCTCTCAATTTATGAGGGAGGAATGTTTTGGATCTATTTATAGTAGTAGAAAAGTAGCCCTAAGGTCAATGAAAAGGACAAGTCCAAAAATCCCCCAAAGCAGGGCCCATCAAAACCCCAAAATTCTAAAAAAAAAACACGCAAGGGTCGACACTAAATTTCAGCACCTAAACTAAGATTCTACAATATACAAGGGTTGACCCTTCCCAGACTGGTGTCGACCCTTGAGGCCAACAACAAAAGAAATGTGTCGACACCACCAAGGCTGGTGTCGACCCTAAATTCCAGCATCACTTCCAGAATTTCAACGACAATGGTCGACCCTTAGGAAGGCTGGTGTCGACCCCAGAACAGAATTTCTAAGTTTCCAAGGAACTTTTGGACAAGAACAAATGCGAACAAATAAACCCAACGAGTTTGAATCGGATTATACTCGTTCAAAACCAATGTACAACAACTCCAAAGACTCCCAAAATGAAAATAAAGGGATTAAATACATCTTCCAATATATTAAAACACCCAAGTGTTATAGATTATCTTTCTTAGGTTTCTTTCTAACTCTTTAGTTCATTTAGGATGCTCAATGTGTGCCTAAGAATGCTTAGAAATGAAGTAGAACAAAAATTGAAACATAACACAACATTTCAAAGTTTTTTAAACTAGGATACTTCGCTCAAGCGCAACATTGGTGGCTCGAGCGAACTCATAAGTCTGCAGAAGTACTGGATGCTCTCATTTTATGCTCGAGCCAACTTCTTAGTTACTTGAGCCAAGACTAAAAATAAAGGGTGGTCGCTCGAGCCAACCTCCAATGTCTACATGCACTAAATTACAAAGTTTTCTTGAATTCACAAGCTATAAGATTTTAATTCACAATCTAAGATTTAATTACTCACCTAGAGCCTTTAACTATTCCAAATTAAACTAGTTCTTGAGCCTAGCTCTTCAAATCTCCAAGCTTTTAGTTCAAGTCTTCAAATTTGAGTCTCCCCTCTCTTAGAATCACACACACTCTCTCTATAATGCTTAACCTCAGCGAAATTGTTGAAGAAGAGCTCAAATATATGAGCTTAATCACCATCTCATCTTATTTATATAAGGTAATTAGCTTAGACTAATCAAACTTGATTAAGGTTAATCAATTACACTTATTGTAATCAATTTGATCTAATTAATTTGATCCGAATAAAATTTTAATTATATTTAACCATAGGCTCTAAAAATTATGTTAATCACAATGATATAGTCAATTTCGGTTTTTGATGCCTCTGCGGCCCTCAATTTGAGATTATAACAGAATATAGAACAAATATCTCTGCGATTTGACAAACATAAATTCAAAAACACATATAATCACATGATTAGCATCCAAAATCACATTAAGCACATAATTACAAAGATAATTAAAGATTAACAGCATATCACAGAACGGGGTTGTCAAATTCTTCCCCCTTTTAGGAAGTTTGGTCCTCTAAACTTGTGTTACCTTCCGTTGGAAACAGATATAGGTAGTGTTGACGCATTTCATCTTCTTTTTCCCACATAGCTTCCCTTTCATAATGCTCTCTCCATTCCACTTTCACCATTGGAATGGATTTGTTTCTCAGTTGTTTCACTTGTCAATCAATGATCAGTTCCAGCCATTCTTCATATTTCATATTTTCATCAAGTGCTATCTGGTGATAGACATGAAACGAATCCCGGAGGTAGCCCCTCATCATTGACACGTAGAACACGTTGTGCATTTGTTCTATACCCGGCGGTAAAGCAACTCTATAGGCAACTGGGCCAAGTCTCTCTAGAATTTGAAATGGCCTAATATAACGGGGTGACAACTTACCCTTTTTATTGAATCTCGATTGGCCTTGGAATTACACGGATAAACACGTGGTCATCAACCTTATATTCAAGAGGCCTCCTTCTAACATCCTTATAACTCTTTTGTCGGCTCTGAGCTGTCTTAAGCCTTTACTGAATAACCTTGATCTTTTCAGTGGTAAATTGCACAATTTTAGGCCTAAGCAAGACCCTATCCCCAAATTCTATCCAGTAGATTGGTGATCTACATTTTCTTTCATATAAGGTTTCATACGGTGCCATGCCAATGCTGGAGTGGTAGCTATTATTATATGCAAATTTTGTCAATGGTAAATAATCTTCCCAACTCCCTGAAAATCTAAGGCACATGTTTGGAGCATATCTTCCAAAGTCTGTATAGTCCGTTCCGATTGCCCATCAATTTGTGGATGGACGCAGTGCTAACTCTCAATTTCATTCCCATTGCTCTCTGTTGGCTTCTCCAAAATCTAGACACAAATTTCAGATCTTTATCCGACACAATAGACACTAGTACTTCCTGTAAACAAACAATTTCACTATATAAATTGTAGCAAATGCATATGCATCATAAGTGGTTCGAACAAGAAGAAAATGTGCAAATTTAATCAATCAACTATAACCCAAATAGAATTCATATCTCTCGGGATTCGAGGTAGTCCGACAATAAAGTCCATGGTTATGTGCTCCCACTTCCATTCCAGAATAGGGAGAGGTTAAAGTAGACCTAACAGCATTACAACAAAAAAGGATTTTTCCGGCACGCATTCCACGCCGTAAAAACCCTTCTACGACGTGCAACGTAACGTCATATTATGACCAGTCATGAAAACTCATTCACTTTCAACGGCATGCCATAGTACGCCGTTGAAAACTATTTAACAATAGATTTTGTGCGTCATTTTTACTTTTTCTATGATTACCTTTGCACGCCGTTAATTAAAGGGACAAACCATGACGTTCATTGCTAGTCATTGAATATTTAATACAATGACCTATTTTGCCTGCCGTAGATAGCTCAAGTTTCACAGCATTTTTTTGCATACTGTAGAATATATATATTTAAAAGTAAAAAATAAAAAAATCAGCAGGTTTTATTTCACCTGTACAACATAAGAAAACATTACAAACATATATATAGATATATTAATCAACTACCAAAATATTATTTCAAACATCCAAAAAAAACTATCCATAAGTTCTAAATGGCCCCGTTTGGTGTAAATGTTAAAACAGATTATAGATTATAATTTAACAGATTATAAATTATGACTTTAATCAGAAGCTGTTAATCCGTTCGGTGTAACTATTGGATTATAGATATAAATTGCTAATTAGTGTTTGTTAAATAAGCTGTGAAGTAGTTTTTTCAATTAACTTTTATTTTTTGTTATTCATTACATGTTTACATTTCTTACAAATAATAATAATAATAATCTATAGTCTATTTGGGTCTTTTTATTTTTTTTAAATAAAAATAAAAAAAATTTAAGAGTATTACTGTAAATTAACATGTCTACAACAGAAATTGATAATCAGAATCAAAAGTTGAGCAGCTTCTCGGAATCAGCTTTTTTGAGTTAAAATAAGTTGTTAGAATCAGAAGCTGTTTAAAATAAGTTTAACCAAACAGTCCAAAATAACTTTTGCAAAGCTAGAAGCTATGAGTTGGCTCAAAAAATCCAAAAAAACACCCTCAATATCCAAATCTTATCTATGTAATCCAAGACATACAATCCTCCCATTTCCACCTTTCCGTATTCTTATTCATTTGTACAAAAGGAACTTAAAAACTCTCCCAGTGTTTTTTTTTTCCCCAAAGAAAACAAATGAACAATGCTATGGAGCTCACCAGTATTGGAATTTACCAGTGAAAGCAATCACTTCACCAGCTCTTTTGATATGAGATATTGGAAAGAAAAATTGTAAGGAATCCATTCAATGCTCTTCTGCAACTTCCCAGTCTGACATTTCTTAATACTCTTTCTCACAGATTAAGGCATACACTGTTGGATCATCTCTAACAAACCAGCTAGACACAACCCTGAATCTTTAGCAAAGGGCTCCACAGTTTTTGGTAAAAGAATTTTTTGGTCTTTTCTTATACCAAAAGTAGCCCAAATGTACTCTTCTTTTGCAACTTCCAGCTCTTGAAATTCCCTCTTGGGTGTGTAAATAGGAATCTGAACATGAACAAAAGATCAGTATTTCAAAATGGTAATAAGAACATAGTATAACTAGATGTTGTGTTCCCATATAAATAACAATCTAATCTATCTGCATCACATATAAATGGAGTGCTACTAAAGTTCAAACACATGATTGGTTGTATGAAATTACTTCAAAATTCAGGAGTTTTTTTTTTTTTTTTTTTGGAAGATTGGGAAGGGGGATGTCTACAAAAAGATCCTCACATGTACCCATTAGATTTTATTTTATTTTTAAAATTTTCTTGATACATAGTGTACACCAGAAAGAGATGCCTCTATGAAAGATGTTCAACAATTTTTTGTCTCAATTTCTTGGAATCGGTTACATGGATCCATTTCCTTCAATTGGCTTTATTCAGTCATATCCTTAGTTAAATTAAGATAGTCACGCCCTTTCTTATCACCTAAACCTAAGTTCTTCGATTTCTTCTATTTCTTTTATCACCGTCTACATGTATCAAATCGCTCCTCTTCTCAAGCACATTAATTGGCCTACGATACATATGATCATATCATATCAAATGATTTTTGCTCATCCTACCTGCAATTGATGCCATTCCTAACTTCTTCCTAATGCAATCATTTCTTGTCACACCACTCATCCATCCCAACATTCTCATTTCAACTTATTTCATTTACTAAACATGTTATTTCTCAACTTCCAATATTCAATATAATATACATCATAACAAGCCTAGTAACAGTTCCACGAAATTGTCCCTTCAATCTAATAGGAATCTTTAATATCGTATAACACTCTTGATCTGATGTAGTAAAAGCTTTTACTTCCCATATATAAATGATATGAGAAGTAAAAGCTTAACTTCAAAGACTATAACAAAATGAACACCAAGGACTTCAAGAAAGAAAAAAAAGCTTCAAAACAAAACCCATAGCAAGGATATACCTGTCCAGGACGAGACATGCGGCATCCAAGGATAGAATTATGTATTGTATCTGCACTTACTACATAACCTCTAACATTATAGGCAGCCTGGATTAAATAAAATTGTAAGAAAATGAAATCCAAACTGAAACTTCGTACAAGCGAAACCAACAAAACTTTTATGTTGTTTTGTGGAATCCCATAAGCCAGAAATGCTTGTTCAGAAAGCTGAATTCATTATATCGTGGATAAAGTAGAGAAAAACTGTACATAGCAGATTCTATTGTAAATTTTGTATTTCAATTGATGAGATTCAATGCATGCATCACCAACGCATTGTGAATGTGGATCCAAAATGCTAGCTTCTCATATTTCATCTTCCTGGGATCTACTTCTTCCAATCGACCAATAAGTGACCTATGATATAACAACTCAATGAGAAAAACGAAACAAGCCATAGATTCCAACTTATGTTCAATATGCTAAAGATACACACATCATGACTTTCTTGTGATTGTAAACTGTCAAAAAGTCTCACCAGAAATTTTGTAACATGTCCTTAATGTCACCCAATTTCTGACTATCTCTGCATATACATGGCACTTAAACCATTATGCTGTAAGGTCCAATAAACTAATTTAGTCCTTCCACGTGGAAAGGGTTATCTAGCTGAAAATTAAAATATGAATCTTTCTTGAACCTAGGACTCCATCCACAGATCACATTGATCTTTTGGAGAAAATGCACTCATTGATGACAAAGATGAATTGGGAGATAAGAGACCCTGATTTGCCGATGGTGGATCCGCAAGGGGTATACCCCATGCCCTAATAAATACAAACAAACACCCAACGAAAATAGAAAAACAACCAGCAAACAACTAAACAAGACTCAAAAGACACCAAAAGAAACTGTTCAAACATGACAAACAAAAAAAGAAGAAAAAACTAGACACCAAACTACTCACAGTCAAATATATCCTGTACACCCCACATGTGAGAGCAAAACCTAATCAGAAGGGGAAAAACTAGACACCAAACTACTCACAGTCAAATATATCCTGTACACCCCACATGTGAGAGCAAAACCTAATCAGAAGGGGAAAAAAAAAAAAACTAGAAACACCATAGCCACTGAGGACCTACAAACTCTTATTCAGTCATCGTAACAAACAAAGGCAGTTGTAGCAGTTACATACAATATCAGCAGCAGCTAATGACAGCAGCAATCAGTGACAACACTAGCTTCCATTGCCACTTGCACCCTTATACATGAAACTTAGCTCGCATTTTTATCCTCAGTCACTCAACTCGCAATATCTCAACCCTCATTAAAAGGATCTCAACATCACAACCTAGTTAAGGGCTTACAATATCTCAACACTCAATCCCTAACATAGGACCAGCTTAGAACCTACATGAACAAACCATTAGAAAATCATTTAAGGGCTTACATCACTCAACCCTCAAAGCTTACTATAGCAGTCACTCCCTATCTTTATAGCTCACATCACTCAACACACTCCCTAAAAGAGGCCTGTCACACCTGCAAACAACTAACAACAAAACTACAAAACAAAAATAAGAACCAAATCCAAGAGAAAGCAGTAGCAAATCAGATCAACCTGCATGATTAACCATAAGGAAATCATTTGAGGGCTAATATCACACATCCCACAAAGCTCACTATATCACTCACTTCCTATCTATAAATCTTCCATCACTCAACACACTTCCCTAAATGAGGCCAGCCAACCTGCAACGGCTAATTTACAGAGAATCCTAACCTGAAGAAGGATAAAATCCTAACTTGAGAAGCATCGCCAGGAGACCATGGCTCATTATCACTTCCATACCGGTCAGCAAGATCAATACCAGTGTCATCTATAAAGTTATCATCATCGCGGGTTCTAACACCATCTTAATCTTCCTAATCCATTAACAAGTAATGTCGCTGGGTGAGCAAGTTATTCATCAAAAGGTAAAGTACAAAGAAAAAAAATGAGTTATGAAATCATACAAACCACAGGGGAAAAAGGCATCAACTTTATGTTGATTATAAACACTTCATGCACATTACCCATGTATTCAAGATAATCAATGTTCAAATAATCACCACAATCAAATGGTTATCGAATCAAAAATTAAAATGAGTTGTATTTTTGTAATTTACACTACCCAGAATAGAATCAGAGCAAGACAATATCACATTAAGTACTTAAAAAGAAACCCAAGCAAGCAAAATCACATAATTTTCAAACAAGTTAATATTAATTGTTACAAAGAACAAAACTTCAAGAAAAAAAAATAAAAAATAGAGTACCTTAGAATCACCTCCTACAATAGTATCCTACATCTCCTTAACGTCTGCTTCACCATTTTGATCCCTCGATCGCTCACCTGAATCCCCTGCTTTCTTCAACTTCAATTTCAACCCATCTCTCCCCTCCGACTTCGACTTCAATTTCTTCTCCCTCTTCCTATTACTACCAATACCATCTATCTCAAACTTCTTCCTCTTTCCATCCCTGGAATCATCGTAGTCCAACTCTCCTCTCACAAAATCCCCCAATTCTCCCCCATCACCCTCTTCCCTAATTCCAAAATCAAGAGTGCTCTCCTCGGCCATCGTGTTCTTCTTAATGAGTAGCTTTCGAGGCTTCGACTTTGCATCTGAATCGTTGTAAATTGGGGTTGAAGAGGGGCTTTGAGGGAAATGAAAGGGCCTGGTAGAGAGGATGGAGATGGAAGATTTGAGAGGGGTTTTGAGGGAAAAGGAGAGAGAGATAGAGAGAGAAAGAGAGGGCAGTGGGTTTGGAGTTGCAGAGAGAGAGAGAGAGAGAGCCTTTTCTCTTTCTCTTCAAATGGGAATTTTCCCTTAGATTAGGGCTCGAAAGGGTGAAGTGAAGTAGATAAACGCTGGGAAGATTGAGGGGGGAAGGACAAATTGGAGATTAGAAGGGTGAGGATGTAGATCGACAATAGAGGAGCATCTGTGGTGAGAGTTTTATTCCATCAAGTGCCTTTATTAATGTTGGGGTTGAAGATGTATATGTTCTTTTTCATATATATATATATATATATATATTTACGGCAAACATTGCAAGTCATAAAAAAAAAAATCATCATTATTACCATTCACAGCTTACGCAATAGATATGTCATGGTTGGAAAAGTATTTACAACGTGCAAAAAAAGCAAGTCGTAAAAGTGAGAAAGTACGGCGTGCATTTATCGTATGTTATTGATGTGGTGCTGTAAAAAGTTAGTTTTGTTATAGTGCGGTTTCTAGTGTTCAACTTTAACTTGCAAACACTGAAGACACTTGGACACATATTCTGTAATTTCTCACTTCATATTAGGCCACCAATAGCTTTGTTTCAAATCCCGATACATCTTGTTAGATGCATCGTAAATATTGACTTGTGGGCTTTATCCAGAATTCCCTTCTTTAAATCAGAGATGTTCAGAACATACAATTTGTTTTGGAATTTCAACACTTCATTCTCCACACTAAACCCTAGTCTTGGATTTGATTCAAATTCATCAATTAGTTTCTTTAGGAATTTATCCTCCATTTGTTTCTGTTTGATCTCATCAATAATTGTCGGTTAAGTTAAAACGGTAGCTATCAATCTGCCCTGTTCATGTAATACTACTTCAATCTCTAATCTCTCAAAGTCTTGCAAGATCTCATTTTGTTTAGTGAGTAGACAAGCCAAATTCCCCATTGACTTTCTGCTCGAAGCGTCGGCTACGATGCTGGCTTTACTCGAGTGATACTGAATCTGGAGATCACAATCTTTTATCAATTCAAGCCATCTTTTTTGTTGCATATTCAATTCTTTTTGGGTAAAGAAGTACTTTAGACTTTTGTGATCCATATAAACTTCACATTTCGCTCCATATAGGTAATGCCGCCAAATTTTCAAAGTAAATACAATTGCGGCCAAGTCTAGATCATGTGTTGGGTAATTCTTCTCATGCGGTCTCAATTGTTGGGAGGCATAGGCAATCACTCTTCCGTTCTGCAAGACAAAAGCTTCTATAAAGAGAGGGGCTCTCTCTTGTTGCTAAGGTTAGAGACTTGAAACACTTGAGAGATATTTAGACAGCCATTTTTAGGGTTTTGAGTTCTAGGGTTAGAATCCATACACCTTCTATCTTTATATCTCCCTCTTGTGTGTGTTTTAGTGTTTTTAGTCCATACTATTGCACACAAACACCTAGTGTTTCACCTTCACTTAGCTACTGAGGTTCTAAGGGACCGATTTTGGTGTTTTGGTGTTGGATTCAAGCCTAGGAGGGCCATTGGAGCATCACTTGTAAAGGGGTCTTCAAGGGTGAGAATCTAGTCCCATTATTCCCCATTTTTGCATCTTGTCTTTACCTATCTTAAAATCGTTTTTGAGCTTAGTGTATAATACAAAAAAGTTCTATTTTTAGGCCCTCTAAATTGTTTGTTTAGAGTGTTTTGTGGTTTGGAGGTGTTTGACCCCTCCTAGGCCTTGAAAGGCCTCATTTTGTGCTATTTTGTGCTAGTTTCGAGACTTTGGTATTTGGGCCTCTTCACCACTGAAATCTTGAGGGATTTCAGTGGTGAAGATGGTGCCTTGAAGTCTCCAAAAGGGGAGGGCCACCCCCTCTCTTTGTTGTCCTTGAAATGGACCCTTTTTGGCCTCTTGAGGGAGCCTATGTTTGAGTGTGTGTTGAGCATGTATAGACTGTTTTTCATGCTTATATTTCCATAATATAACATGATTTTAAATTGGTTTTGGTACACCATGCATGCTTAGCATACCTACCTTGTAATACCATGTTTATGCCTTAATATGCCTTAGGTTGTTAGCCTTTGTTCAAGCATGTTTTAGGCTTAGTCTTGTGAAGGTTTTGTGCATATTTTGCCATGTTTTAGGTCTGTCCATAGTTGTTTGGGTCGGATTTGGCATGCTTAGTATAGCTCCTTTGTATTCGGGCTTGTTGGCCTCAAGTATGCAAATGTGTAGTCTGCGTTGCTTGCATCATTTCGGTGGTTTGGAACCACCCTACATGTTATTTCAGTCCTTTTAGCATGCCTAAATGTTTGCATTTTGTGGCCCTTTTGTTGCTTCAAGAGTTGATGCCCCATGCTTCATATTTGTGCCGTGATGTATGCCTCTAGGATTAGGTTACTTGGATGCCATCTAAGTGATTCTTGAGGCTTGTTTTTGCATGATTTGGGACTGTTTTGGTTCAATTTGGTCATTTGCTTCATGAGTCATGTGATCATGCTTTAGGTCCTTGGGCCTCGTTGCATGTATAGCTTGCATGAGTAGGTTAATTTGGCATCATTTCCTACATTTTTTTTAGGCTTATAATGCATGCTAATTAGTCCATGATTGCCCCTTTCAAGTGTGCTTGAGGGTTGTCTAATTTGTGCCTAAGTGTTGGCCTTTCAACATGTGTATGTGTGCATGTGTATTTGGTCACTCATTATAGCACTTTGGCCCTTGTTTTAGGCCTTATTAGAGCTGCCTAAACTATGCTTAAGTCCATCTTGCCATTAGTTAGCATTGCCTCATGTTTGCTTGTATGCTTGCATAAGTGCCTCGCCATGCCATGTTGCATCCTTAGCTTGCATGCCTAGGTTGCATTGCATCTTGCATGCATGCCTTATTCCTTGATTTGGTGATAGGAATTGGGCCTTAGTTTGTTCGATTGGTTTGCATTTCATTTGACATGAAAATTGCACACTTGATTCCTTGGGCCATCATGCATGGAAATGCGTGATTGGTGGTCCGAGAATCGAGGCACATGCCCCTTTGAGTCATCACTATGATAAGGGACATGAGTAGTGCATACATGCCTTGAATTGTGCTGCCATGCTTTGCCTTGCCCTCTGTTGCTGTGAGTTGCAGGTTCTGCAGGCTTTCTTTGCCGACCGGCAGTAAATCATCAGCCGATAGCTTTATTTTGTGCCGGTGACCACACCACACTGCCGGTGGCAATTCCATTTAGCCGGTGGCACTCCCCAATGCCCAAGGAAGCAGTCCTGAGGTTTTGGCAGCCTCCAGAGGAGTGAAGGAAGGAAAACAGAGGCAGCCTACGCATGGCGGTGCATTTCCCGAGGCGATTTCCTGTTTTCTTAGCTTAAGTTAATTTGCTTAGTTGATTAGGCAATTTGTAATATTTAATTAGCTTGCATAGTTAATTAATTTGTATTATTTATTTGGTCCCTCCGAGTGAGGGCAAATCTGTAATAAGTGTGCGTGAGTGGTGTGTATGTCTTCCAATCCCCGCTTCTTTCGTCCCTTTTACTTACCTGCTTTGATGGTTAGTATTAGGGCATGTTAAATTTAGCATACCTCATGCTATGCATGCATGCATCCATGCATTTGTACTGCATGCATTGGGCTCGGTACATCACGCTAACTGCATTTGTATTTCAATTCCAAATTGAATACGTGCATCAATTGATCGCATTTCATATGCCATGCTTAGGTTAGCCGAGCCTACTTCGATTGCACCCTGTATGTGTTGCATTAGGCAATTTAACATGAGCTAGGACATGCATGTTTGCTAACTAATTTATTGTTTTGGCACGGAGTACGATGTAAGTATTTCCGCTTTAGCATATCGCATGAGTGTGAATGTTGCCATGATAGCATGCTTAACATGTGGCTAGATGCTTATGTGTTATAAACTGTTTGGATGCCTGCGGGTGAAGGCTGGATTGTTTGAGTTGGAAAAACTCGTTGAAATTCGTATTTTAGCCTACTTGCGAGTAGCAAACCCCAAAGCATTTTTTTTATAAAACAAACGGATATGCAATGCTTATTTCCAAATTAGGCAACCAAGTCTATACTTGTTTGCTGTGCGCATAACATAGTAATTCTAGGCTAATAACTGGAATAAGAACACATAACGTTTTCAAAATCGGATATCATGGTTAGGAGAGGCCGGTCTTCGGACCGGGCGAAAGAGGGTGCTCATAGCTGACCTTCCCCGATCGTACCCAAGCTCCCGAGCCCATGGTTAGTAGAGGCCGGTCTTCGGACCGAGCGAAAGGGGGTGCTCATAGCTGACCTTCCCCGATCGTACCCAAGCTCCCGAGCCGGGACAACTCCAGTGATGATGGACATATGGCCTTCGGCACCGAGTCAGGGTTTCCTAAATTCTCCCATTTTTAAATATTTAGGTGGCGACTCTGTATCTGGCAAAGCAGTCCATGTTTGGCATTACTTTTGCAAAAATCTGTTTCTCAAAACGATTTGCCAGATTTGGACTCTTTGGTTCAAGATTAAGAACCGTGACACAAATCGAGAGTCCGAACTGTAGCATGAGGCCCCTCCGCGGGCGCGTCTACAACTCTCTTCAGAAGAACTGAAAGTTTCAGATCGTCCCTTCTTCTTGGGCTCCAGGGATAATGAATCGGAGTTGCTATCAGTGTCTTGTTGTCGGGCTCGAGATCGTCGACCACCTGCCCTCACAGGTCGTTCTGGGCCTTGGTGTACAACTCGTTTTGATTTCGCCACCTCCAAGGCCAAATCCTGACAGAGACGTTCGTTCTCTACGATCATGTTCTCCAACCTTTGTTCCTTTTTCTTTGCTTGTTCCATGATCGCTTGCATTGCTTCATGCTCTAGAGTTGAGGGTGTGGTCAAGTTCAAAGCGCGTCTGACGGGGATAGTCTCCAGTCCAAGCATGTTTGTTGGAGTGAGGTCGTCTCTCTGCGTGGTTTCATCGGTGACTATCGGAGGGTCTTCCAGTACGCCCGCCATGGATGTATTTGAGTATTCCCACAGACGGCGTCAATTGTGAGGATGTGGTTTGGAAATACTCTTCTGATCCTGGGGGACGTTATTGATCCTCTTCTAGTCACCTGAAAAGGAATAAACACTCCGGTCGGGGGTGCCGGAATTAGCCCTCCGACGGGCAAGTCAGTCTCTATACTCAAGATTACTTATATTCTAAGTTAAGCACAATAGTTCTCACATACCTCTTTCTGGCTGATATTCTTCTATTATATCTTTTCTTTCTTGGGCCTCGGGATTG